CGCTTTTAAATCGTAGAAGGTTAAAAAATTTATAAGTTTTACTATAAAATAAAAATAGAATTGGCAAACATTAAATGCATTATTCCCGATTCCAAAAATTTGTGGGAAGGCATTTCGACGCTTCCCGTCTTCGTACGACTTTAATTAGCCGAGATATTAATTAAAAACTCTGAAAACACTTATTTTCGCCCTCATTTTTTCGAGTGGCAACAATCTCGCACGCTGGAGATACAAATCTGCTTTATTTCGAGAATTGTTGCCACTGCTCGCTTTTAAATCGTAGAATTTGTTAATAAAAATTTATAAGTTTTACTATAAATAAAAATAGAATTGGCAAACATTAAATGCATTATTCCCGATTCCAAAAATTGTAGGAAGCCATTTCGACTCTTCCCGTCTTCGTACAAACTTTAATTAGCCGAATATTAATTAAAAACTCTGAAAGTTCTACTTTTTCGCCCTCATTTTTCGAGTGGTAACAGTGGTCGGGCGTTGAGATTAAATGTTTATTTCTAAAGCGTTGCTACTGCTCGCTATAAAATCGTACAGTTTGTTGTAAAAAATTTGTAAGTTTTCAAAATTTATTTATATAATTTATATATAAAGAAGAATGCCTGTTTGTTTGTTCGCATTATTGATTTCTGATCAATTATGATAAATATTTTGCCACATCTAAAATTGAATGTATGTGAAATATTGGATGGAACTTGAGCTTTTAAGACAGACCATTTGATTAGAAAGACGAAAATCATTAAAAACTGCATGCCATTGTTGCTGTTAATGAGAGAGAATTAGCTTATTTTCCTATCGAAATTTTTTGTGGGAGTTCCATATCCCATCGGAATGAAAAATTTATGACTATGAATCATATTTTTTGCATCGTTATTAGAGAAGGATTACAGCGGTATCGTTCTCTCTGTTGTTACATAAATTACTCTCAACCTAACTTAACTGGCATGGGTTACTTGCGCTAGTTTTAACTACTTATAATTATTAGTAACTATCTGAACTATTCTTATTTGTAGTTATATGAACTATTTGTAACTCTTTGAGGAAATCTTCCTCGAATGGAAGCGGCGACTTTTATCTCAATTTCTACAATAGACGCCTGCTACTGAAATCCGTACGCCCCCAGGGGCGTACATATCTGATATCGGCGGCACGGAATAAAGGGCATCTAATACCATTCATCCATTATGCCACCAACAGCTTGCTGAATATCGGTCGGCAGACGCAGAAATTCAGTTTTCCTGAGAAATCAATTCTCTCAGCAGCACGGAACTAATGTGCAGGCATAATCTTCAACGAAACTTCTCCATTAGCGTAACTCTGGCGTGATATACAGAGAATTTCATTAAATATTGTGGTATCATACCCACATCGGGCCTGGGGGGGGGCGCGCATTGTTGATGATGACCGTGCTGTCCCTATAGCGGAAGTTATTTTTTACCTTCCGTCTTGCTTGATGCGGGTAGATTTTACGAGAAATAAATACCTTAAAGTTTCAAAATACGAATATAACTGGAGTTTTGTTTTAGTTTGATTGTTAATTAATATTTGCGATGGTATACGGTATGTTCAAAAAATCGTAGTTTTTATTTTCTTAAATTTTGATTCCAGATTTGTGCATGCCTTATTAGGTTATAAAATTTCACAAAATTAAAAAAAAGAAAAGAAAATCTGAAAGGTTAATTTAATTTACGTCCAAAGTCGCGTTTTTGTAACATTTTGTGTGTTACCTTTATTTATTAAATATCATGTTCTTTGCACTTAAACCACAAAATTCAGTTTAATAGAAATATTGCAAAATAATGTTAAATTCAGCATATCTTTAGAATTTCCGATACACAGTCTGGCGCGTTGGAGATAAAAATGATTTTTTCTGTACAACGTTGCCATTGCTTGCTTTGAAATCGTTGAGTTTGTTAATCAAAAATTCGTTAATGTTTTACAAAATATGAAATCGATCATAAAACAAATTCCAAATTTCAAATTTGGTCTTCCACATGCCCATATTCGCAGTAGGATTACGCCATTCAAAATTCGATGGCTCCTATGTACCGTTGTTTTATCACAACGCGAGAAATATATATTCAGATTTTTCATGATTTAATTTCTTCAAATATATTGCAGGACTAGGAAAATTTGATGGCAACAGATTGAAAAGTGGTACGCCGTTTCTAGTGATTCGACGCAAAATCGCAAAACGAAAAGAATAGTTCTTCAGGGATAAAGCCCCTTTGGAATAATAATAAATTAATTTGCAGGCTGAAATTTCAGTCTAACATAATGGTTTAACTTCTAAATTTCGAAGCGTTAAAAAAAAAAAAAAAAAAAAAAAAAATCTGAAAGTTTCCGGATTTTTACGATCGCCCCAAAGGCATTTGTTAAGGTTCTTTACACTCTTGGTTAGTTCGCGTCTGCCAGTTTGCTCTTATGCTCACCATATAAGGCATTTCTCCCACTTCCCTAGCGTGCCTTCGTGGTGTAAACGGTAGCACGCTGGGCCGGTATTCCAGAGGTCCGTGGTTCGATTCCTGGTTGCATATTTTTCATCTTTTCTGCTTCCAATTAACCCTAATGACTCTACAAACTCTAGTCGTTTTAGCTTTATTAATACGCATAAGTTACTTCGCACTTACGCTTTATACAACTGAATAGGAAAATTATAAAAAAAAATTAATTAGCAACATAAGAGTATACACCCGATGTCACGTTAAGTCTCTGGCATACATGTTTCAGTTTTTTTTAATCTGTCTTCTCTCAGTTTATCATATCAATGTTAAATTTGGCTAGTAAGATGGCTTTAGAAAACTTTTTCGTTCGTTTTATTATTAAAGCTTTGTGTGTTTACTTTAGTTATTAAAAATCACGTTGGCGGCGCATTCGCCAGATAAAATTCTATTCAGCACCAAAATCACAAAATATTTAAAGTAAAATTCTATTCAGCACCAAAATCACAAAATATTTAAAATAAAATTCTATTCAAAAAATCACAAAATATTTAAAATAAAATTCTATTCAGCACCAAAATCATAAAAATTAAAAAAAATTCTATTCAGCACCCAAAATCACAAAAATATTAAAATAAAATTCTATTCAGCACAGCACCAAATCACAAAAATGTAAAATAAAATTCCATTCAGCACCAAAATCATAAAATATTTAAAGTAAAATTCTATTCAGCACCAAAATCACAAAATATATAAAATAAAATTCTATTCAGCACCAAAATCACAAAATATTTTAAAACAGAATATATATATATAGACAGTCCGATAGACAATCTCGCACGCTGGAGGATTAAAAATATTTTATTCCGCACAGTGTGTTGCCACTGTTGGCTTTGAAATCGCTGAGTTTTTTAATCAAATATTTAGTTAAATGTTTCCAAAACATGAAAGAGAAAATAAAACAGATTCTAAATTCTAAATTTGGGCTTTTACGTGTCCATGTTCTGGTGGAGGATAGCGTTGGTTTTTCACAATGCGAAAAGCAGGAGTACATTTATGCAGTTTCTTTATTATTCAATTTCTTTCCATATAATACAGGGCGATCATATTTGGTGGCAACAATTTGAAAAGTGATATGCCGTTTTAAGTGATTCAATGCAAAATGCCGTTTCGAAGCTTACATCCCATTCGGATTTAACGTTCTTTTGGGGTTAAAAACATTTTCTACAATGAAAAAATGAGAAACTTGACTTCGACGTTCGACTATATGATAACTCCGATCAAATAGCCTTCTAAAAGCTTGTTGTAAATAAACAGGCGCGAGCGTAAAATACATTTGCATCACTTTTGGATAGAATTCCTTCAACAGGACAAAATGTTTTCATTTGTTTCCATAAATAGACCGCGGGAAATTGAAACTGTTGAGGAAAATGCCAACTTCGAACAGGAAATTACTAGGAAATGAGAAACATTACCTTTTTTGATTCCCAAATCTTAACTTCGATTCTTCGAAATATCTGATTTCGTTTTACTCTACCTTAAACTAACGCAATGAAACTATGTTTCGTTATTCAATTGTTGTTAAAAAGAATATAAGATAATATATGCCTACGCGACATATCTCTTTATCATATAATAATTTTGACTGAATTTATTACACACTACTCGTAAGCTGAAGTGCAAAAATGCTATGTGCACTGCAGGGGGGGAGGGTGAAAAAAAAAACAGTTCTATATCTCCCGATCTACTGTGCCGATTGACGAAATTCAACTTGCGTTTTTCATGTCTCGAAAGCGCGACTTAGGATATGTATTAGATTTATATATAGCATTGCTCTAATACAGGTATTTTGACATTTTTCTATCTTGGAGACATAGTCTTTTTATTCTTCTGTCATCAATAGATGTGGTGCACCTTTTCTTGAATTTGTCTCCTGATATCGTAAACAAAACTTTCATACTCCAGATGTAGTCACTGAACACCCACCTGTCTTGCAATTTCAGCATAGGAAAGACCACTTTCTCGTAACACAATATATTACATCTCTTTCTAGGTGTCCAATCTACTCTTTTATTTGACGTCATTGCTTCTGAATATATTAAAAATTTACAAAAATTACTACTTGTAATTGCAGGTATAAGAAAACAGATCCTCCTTCTAAGAACAAAGCAAAAATAAGAATTGTTCAAGGTAAAACACGATGTCAGCCTCTACTGGCAGTTACTAACATTGATTGGTTCTCAGAAAAAGACAGTGATTGGCCAGGAAAGCTAGACATACAAACCACTTCATAAGTGGTTTTTTATTATATTAAAGTAATATACTTTTTGTGTTGCAAATAATGATTTTGTTTTTATTGAATCAGTAATTGTATTTAATCAGTGATATCGTCAGTAATAAATTCTCTTTAAAATGATATATAACAAGTTTGCATTTTGCGAAACGTAACATTTTCTATAAACATACAAAGTTCAAAAACATAAAAATTTCCAAAAGTGTCCACAATTTTGGCCACCACTGTATATCACTCATGCAATTCGAGGAAATAAGTTTAAATGAAATGCAGCAAAAAATGTGTACAATTTAATAGGCCGTACAATGAAGTCATGTGGTACCTGCAGATTTTTTAATTTTAATTTTAACATCAGCAAAGCTAATGTAATACCTATACATTTCTTAGAGATAGAAATAATAGTTAGTCTTAGCCACGGTTTTAAGCTTCGTATCTGGTAGACATTTGACATTTTTGAACTACAGCCCCAACAAATCCCACAATTCACTTTCTGGCATTTAATCGGACATCCCCGATATGAATGATCGATGAAAAGTAAGAATTTCTCCAGATTTTGTTTTTGCCTTTGGCTTTGTTATGTTTACCACATGTATTAGAATGGGTGATAAAGAAAGTAATACTGTACTTTGAAGAATATGACGATACAAGAACATTTATTAAGGAAGATACTTCAGTTATGTTTCAACGATATCGGAAGAATTTTTGAAAATTTTCTATTATCTTGACTTAAGGATTAATGTATATTGTTTTATATTTTAGAAGTGACATTATTGAAGTAATATTTGTCATTCCATGACTAATAACATGACAGAATTCTCTCGTCAGCTTGCTTCGTGGTGCTTTCTCATTTTTGGTGTCCATGGTTATAAAACGGTTACATTCTCTTTGAGATCGAAGTTTTGGTAAGTAATTCTCTTGTTTATAAATTTCAGAAACACAGATCAAAGCTGCTGCTTAGGAAAGAACTTAGGGCTTCGCGAATTTTAAAATAAGTTTTTCAGCCTGGGGCTTGAGGTAGTTAATAGCTGGGAAGATTGCTATCAATCGAATACTATGTTGCGAAGGAGTAGTACACCATGTTTTGCTTTGTTTGGCTCTTTAGTTGGTTTTGAAACAAGCTTGCGAATTATATGCCCTCTATGTTACTTAAAATTATACATATTGCACACTAAAATGCATGATCCAAGATTGATAGATTGCTGTTAACGTGTATCGTAAAACAGGGTACTAACAGTTCTATTTTATGATGTTATCATTCTTTCAATTACCTAGTTTGAAATCCCATGAAAGAAAAAAGACATCGACAAGTTCTTACACAAAAAAGTTTGTAAGCCAGTAAACTCCATACAGAGTTGCCTCGCTGCAAAATGATTTTCTTCACTCACCATTTTCTAAGCTGCCAGACTTCTGCGATGTATGCGGGAAAACATGTTACTAAGACTGCTGGGAAATTCTCCAATGTATGATCCAAGATTGCTGTGACGTATACTGCAAAACATGATACTAAGATTGCTGGTGAATATTAAAATGCATAATCGAAGATTGCTTTACGTATATTGCAGAACATATTACCAAGACTGCTGGGAAATACTAAAATGATCCAAGATTATGGATACCCTAAGGCACATTACCAAGACTGCTGGTGAATACTAAAAGGCATGATCCAAGATTGCTGTAAAGTATGCAGCATAACAAGTTACCAAGACTACTCGTGAATACTAAAATGATTTATTCAAGATTGCTGTTACGTATATTGTAAAACATGTTACCAAATCTGCTGGTCAGTACTACAATGCATGATCGAAGATTGCTGTTACTTAAACTGCAAAATATGTTTTAAGATTCCTGGTGAATACTAAAATGCATGATCCAAGATTGCTGTTACTTAAACTGCAAAACATGTTTTAAGACTCCTGGTGAATACTAAAATGCATGATCCAAGATTGCTGTTACTTAAACTGCAAAACATGTTTTAAGACTGCTGGTGAATACTAAAATGCATCATTCAAGATTGCTGTCAAGTATGCTGCGGAACCTGTTACCAAGACCACTCGTTGATTACTAAATGCTTTATTCAAGATTGCTGTTACATATATTGTAAACATTTTAGCAAATCTGTTGTCAGTACTATAACGCATGATCCAAGATTGCTGTTACTTAAACTGCAAAACATGTTTTAAGACTGCTGGTGAATACTAAAATGCATCATTCAAGATTGCTGTCAAGTATGCTGCGGAACCTGTTACCAAGACCACTCGTGATTACTAAAATGCTTTATTCAAGATTGCTGTTACATATATTGTAAAACATTTTAGCAAATCTGTTGGTCAGTACTACAACCGCATGATCCAAGATTGCTGTTACTTAAACTGCAAAACATGTTTTAAGACTGATGGTGAATACAAAAATGCATGATCCAAGATTGGTGTACAGTATGTTGCGGAACCTGTTACCAAGATTACTCGTGAATACTAAAATGCTTAATCCAAGATTGCTTTACGTATACTGCATAAATATTACCAAGACTGACTGGAAATACTAAAATGCATGTTCCAAGATTGCTGTAAAGTATGCTGCGGAACCTGTTACCAAGACTACTCGTAAATACTAAAAGGCTTTATTCAAGATTGCTGTTACGTATATTGTAAAACATGTTAGAAAATCTGTTGGTCAGTACTACAACGCATGATCCAAGATTGCTGTTACTTAAACTGCGAAACATGTTTTAAGACTGCTGGTGAATACTAAAAGGCATGATCCAAGTTTGCAGTAAAGTATGTTGCGGAACCTGTTATCAAGACTACTCGTGAATGCTAAAATGCTTAATCCAAGATTGCTTTACGTATACTGCAGAAATAATACCAAGACTGCTGGGAAATACTAAAATGCATGATCCAAGATTGCTGTAAAGTATGCTGCGGAACCTGTTACCAAGACTACTCGTGAATACTAAAATTCTTTATTCAAGATTACTGTTACGTACATTGTAAAACATGTTACAAAATCTGCTGGTCAGTACTATAACGCATAATCCAAGATTGCTGTTACTTAAACTGCAAAACATGTTTTAAGACTGCTGGTGAATACTACAATGTATCATACAAGATTGCTGTTACGCATATTGTAAAACATGTTACCAAGACTGCTGGTGATTACTCGAACGCATGATCCAAGATTGCTGTGACATATACTGCGAAACATGTTACCACGACTACAGGTGAATACTGCAAGGCATGATCCGAGATTGCTGTGACGTGTTACTGCAGTACATGCTTATTATAGTTGTCTATTGCGAAATTCATTAAAAACAGCAACCAAAAAATGTGAATAACCTAGTGTGTAATAGTCAAAGGTTTGGTTCTGAATGTATACAAGACATTTTGTCTTGGATACAAAGTTTGGATCAATAGATATAAGACTATAAAATAAAATTTCATGGTGATGTTATATTTATCTACTTTTTGATCTTGCCGAATTGAAGAACTTCAATGAATTTCATCCGTCTTAAACGATGAGGAGTTCTTCAGCAAATGAATGTCCATTGTTGAACTATTTTCCGCTGTTTAAATAAAGTAAGAAATTAACTTATGTGGCTGCCAATAAACATATAGCAGCAACATAAAGCCATTACTTTCGGATATACCGATTTATTCTGAGTAGAAATAAATAGGACAGACTTCTTCTGTGTACTTATAACCATAGACGAAGGGTAGGCGTTATGCAACAATCGCTGACATTCTCTCAGAATAAAGAAAGTATCGAGACGAAAGAAAGTTCCATGAAGAATCACGAAAGCACTTTTACAGCAAAAACGATAGTTTTCATATACTTAATAGGAACTAATGAGCATTTTTTCTTCAATGCAATTATGATTACTGACGCAAAACATGCGCACGATCATGCGCATAGCGATTCTTCAGACAAAAATCATGCTCATAAAAATCTTTCAGTGAAGAAACTATAAGGTATTTCTCCCGCTTTCCTAGCGTGCCTTCGTGGTGTAGTGGTCAGCACACTGAGCCGGTATTTCAGAGGTCCATGGCTCGATTCCCAGCGAAGGCGTTGCTAATTTTTCATCTTGCTTGCTTCCAAAAATCCTAATGTCTCTACAAAATTTCGCCATTTTCGCAGGCGTTCTTTTGCTGTACAAAAGCGGCTTTTGTGAACAAATCGTGATATTTTATGGCTTCATTTTAAAACATGCGCTTTTGGAATTTTCCAGCGATGAAAGAAACTGCGTTGAAATTTCTTCAGGAATGTTATTCTGACGCAAAATCTCTAAAGGGAAGAACAGGGGATGCGTTCGGTATATAGGTAATGTTACCAGTGTTTACGCAATGCCGTATACCTGCAATTCTCTGATGTTTTTTAACTCGTAAGTGTAAACAGATCGCTGTGTACTTGGAGAGGAGAGTACCACAAAAAAAAATTACAGAAAGATTTGAAGAAAAATAAAAGCGTTTTATTTTTTAATGTATCACGTAATACATATTTAATGATTAAAATATGTATTTTAAATTACTAAAGTATGTTTTCTTTTCATGTGTAGATACTATTCGGCAACTCCCAATAAATATCGATAGTCTGAGAATCTCTTTAAGAAGAAATTCGCGAAAACCACCAACTCGCACCCTGTGCTTTAACTTTTAATTTTTTCATCGGTAAAAAAATCGCCAAATTACGCCTTAGTGCCTAAGTACCAAAAAATATACAGCAAAATACAAAGTTCATTTAAATTTAAAAAAAAAAAACGTACGCTTTGAAAAGAAAAATGTTTCTTTCTTGGCAAAATAAACTATGCTGGTCTCAAAATGCATCTGTTTTATATTGCATCTATTTGATATTGAAACTGAAACCCACATTATCTTTCTATTTTGCTACACTTTTCTAAAAGATC